GAGCTGCCCTGTAAAGTTTCACTCAATCTGCAATAAAAACCTTAAATAAAAATAACAACTGTGGATGCAGCAGTTCTCCAATCAGGAAGGCCTCTTGTCTGCCATATTGCAGGCATGCCTTACTTTTGTCTTCAACCTCTGAGCTGTGTGGCACCTTGGTCTCTGCCTCAGTCCATGGGCCTAGATCCTGAAGCGATTCTGTCTCTCCATGCCACCACCCTTGCCGTCACCTCAGCCATTGCTGTTTTTCTAGGTAGGGATCTCACGCTCCACTCATGCTCTTTCTTCTTGATGGTCTTGGGATCTTCTTTCTCTGCTTCTGAGATAGCTCCTTTTAAACATAGCTGAAGGCAAAACTAACCAGTCCAAAACTTGGAGTCCTGTATACCTTATTTGCATGGTATTTGCACTGGACTGCAAGGTTGGTTTGAACCCTAAACTCAGCAGTTCTAACCCACCAGCCGCTCCTCAGAAACTCTATACAGAGTATGAGTTGGAACCAACTTAACGGGACTTAACAACAACAACCCAATAACTTGGTGGGAATTAAAACAATTTTGGATAGAAAAGCCATATCAAGTAAATTCAAGGCACCATACTGATACATACCTTTCCTGATTTTAAACTACACTGTATCCTTTGTTCTGTTTTAAGGATTGCCTCTTGGTCTATGTGTAGGTTCCACATGAGCACAGTAAAGTATTTTGGAATTCTCATTCTTTGAAGTGTTATCCATAATTTGTTATGATCCACAGATGAATGCCTTTGCACATTAATAAAACACATAAGCATCTTTCTAGTATTCTATGCTTTCAACCAAGATCCATCTGACATCAGCAATGATATCTCTCTTTTCACATTCTCTTTTAAATCCAACTTAAATTTCTAATGGTTACCTGTTGATATACTACTGCAACTATTTTCAAATTATCTTCAGCAAAACGTTACTGAAGTATGATATTATTTGATAATTTCTGTATTCTGTTAACTTACCTTTCTTTGGAATGGACACAAATGTGGATCTCTTTCAGTCAGTTGGCCAGGTAGATGTCTTCCAAATCTCTTGGCATAGATGAATGAGTGCTTCCAACATCGCATCCAGTTTTTGAAATATTTCAGCTGGTATTCTGCCAAGCTGTGGAGGCTTTCCCCCGCCCCCACCCAATGTTTTCAGTGCATGTTGGGCTTCTTTTAGTACCATCAGTTCTCAATCAGATGTTACCTCCTGAAATGGTTGGATATTGACCAATTATCTTTTGTACAGTGACTCTGTGAATTTTTCCATTAAAAAAAAAAAGTTTTTATTGTGAATTGAGTGATAGTTTACATGGGAGAACATCCATTTTACACTCATCGTTTCATTGCAATTAGTACAATCCTCTCTAGGCATCAGCATATCATTCAACAGTATTTGCTTCTATTCCCTCTGTTTTGTTTTGTTTTTTTGGGGGTGGGGGTGGGAATACACAAAAACACTCAGGAATATATAATCACTTAAACAACCAAAGGGCACATTCTGCAAGCCTGCCTCCTGGCCACCAGTACACAATCTTTCTTTTTCCACGAGTCTAGAGTGCTCAGCTGCTCTCTCTCTCCATGTCCCCATCTCTGCCTCCATCTTTGGTGTCACTGCTTCTCGGGATAGAGACCAACATTCCACTCATGCTCTTCTCCCTTAATGGTCCTAGGGTCCTCTGTTCCTGGACTGTAAAATTAACTGCTCCCTCCTTTTTGTTACAAAACTTCTACCTTTACAGTTGTGACAATCCCAATTAGTCATGATAACAATTACTTACTATTGAGTCATAAGAATCTTATCCCCACCTCCTTTTACCAGACCTGTCTAGACAAGATGAAAAAAAACTATTAAGTGGGGATTCTATCTTACCCTGCACACTTTGAAACTAAACTCCCTCTTGAAAACTTGTAAGCCAGTCACTTTGTGCCTTTATTGCCCCCTTATGGTCCTCTAGGACCATCAAAGGAGAAGAGCATGAGTGGAATGTGGTACCCTATCCAGAGAAGCAGTGATTCCAGAGTTGGAGGCAGAGATAAGGACATGGAGAGAGAGCAACTGAGGTAGCCAATGTCTAAGTTGCCCATCCCTACCTACCCTGTATAGCGTAGTGGTTATGAATCGAGCTGCTAACCTCAAGGTCTGTGGTTCGAAACTACCAGCTGTTCCATGGTAGAAAGATGAGGCTTTCTGCTCCCATGAAGATTTGCAGCCTCGGAAACCTTGTGCAGAGCCACTGTGAGTCGGAACCAACTCCACAGTACTAAACAACAACAACAACCTGCCCTGTATACAGGGGGGATAGAATTGATACATGATGTGAATACTCCTTCGCTCTCAGTTGGTATTTGGAGCTACTGTATCCATAAGTATAGCTTTCCATCTTCTTTTGATGCTTCTTGCATCATTCAGTATCTTGCCCACACCAAAACCCAAACCAAATCCAAGTTCAGCTGTCAAGTTGATTCTGAGTCTGACTCTGACTCACAGCAACCCTAGAGGACAGACCAGAGTTAGGGTTTGCAAGGCTTTTATGGAAGCAGACTGCCATGTCTTTCTCTAGTGGAGCAGTTGATGGATTCAACAGTGTGAGGCCAAGCACTTTAACCACTGTGCCACCAAGGTTTCATTTTGCCTAGAAAATCCTTCAATATTGCAACTCAAGGCTTGAATTTTTTCTTTAGTTCCTGCCCGCATGAGAAATGCTGAGCGTATTCTTCCCTTTTGGTATTCTAACTCCAGATTTTTGCACATTTCATTCTAATACTTTACTTTGTCTTCTCAAGTTGCCCTTTGAAATCTTTTTCTGCTCTTTTATTTCATTTCTTCCATTTGCTTTAGCTACTCCAAGTATGAGGATACAAGGATTAAGTGAATTAGTTAGTAAAGTACTTATAACTGTGCCTGGCATGTAGTAGATGCTTATGTTAACCAACTTTTCTAAACTCACATTCAGAATATTATTACACAACCATATATGTGGGTGTTATTTATTTATTTATTAAATGTTTTTATTTTGGATTGAGTGAAAGTTTACAGGGCACATCATCA